AAAAAAAAAAGAGGGGAATACTTACCTCACACTGTATACAAAAAAAAAAATTTAAAAAAAAAAAGAAAGAATTTGAAACTGTAAAATAGCATACATATATCCATCATGATCTGGACTCTCTCTTTTCTAGCAGGTCCACCATATGTACCCTTTGTTTCAGCCATTAACATCTACACACAGTTCCTTTATTAGGCATGTTACCATATCTCTCTACCTTTGTATATGTTGTTCTTTCAACCTAAAAATGCCTTTCCTTCCCCTTCTTCAATTAATGCCTCATTCTTCAAGCTTTGGTGTAAATGTCACCTACTATGGTTAAGCCTTTCCTTGTTACACTCAACCATCCAATTAGATTTAGGTGCCTCTCCACAATGTATTACCCTCCTATGCATATCCCTATGATCTTTATCACACAGCTCTTTAATCATTAACTTCCCTGCCTCCCCCACTAGACTAGGAGCATCTTTTTATCACCAACCATCAGCAAGTCTAACATTGAGTAGGTGCTCAGTAAATGTTTGTTGCATGAATGAACTCCTTGCGCTCAACTTTTCAATTAGATCAAAACATGATTTATCCAATTAAAAAACCAAGCCAAATATTCAGGAAGTTATACAATAACCAAAAAATTAACTTCTATTACACCAAGTTACTAATTTGACTCCACTATGTAAAGACCAAAGGCTTCAGAAATGATACAGAAACACAAAGCCAAAATGCAAAAACATCTAAGACTGTTAAGCCCTTCTTCACCACTGTGTCTGTGTGAGGGCTGTCAGTTCTACCTTAACAATAGCCTCTTTTAATAGTCAAGCCATTGCCTTAAATATGTGGAATTCAAGATGCAGCTCCTTCGTTAATACTTCTAGAGTTCTATTAGATTTGACAAAACATACTCCATGACTGACACTAAATTAGTAATTAATCACTAAAATAGTAAATTAATTAAGCATCATGCTGCTTGATGACATGCTACAATCTGGGCCTAACCAAAGAGCTACATGAGTAGTAAAGCTACAAAGCTTTACTACTAATGCATTATTCAAAAGGTGCGAAGTCCAAGAGATGAATGCCTTCAGTAAAAAGAATCAAATAGGGTCATTATGAGGATTCACAGGTGAAGAAAATTAAACTAAGTTTTGTTAAATTTTTATTTAATCTTAAACAGAAAAATTCTTTTTTTTTTAGATTTTATTTATTTATTTGACAGAGAGAGAGAGAGAGACAACGAAACAGGGAACACAAGCAGGGGAAGTAGGAGAGAGAGAAGCAGGCTTCTCGCTAAACAGAGAGCCTGATGTGGGACTGGATCCCAGGACCCTGGGATCATGACCTGAGCGGAAGGCAGATGCTCAAGGACTGAGCCACCCAGGCGCCCCCCGCCCCCCAAAAAATTCTAATACCCATCAAAAAGTTGAGATATAAAGTAGTTCCTCTCAACAGAAAACATACCTTCCTTCTCCAGTTTTTCAGAACAATGAGAAGCTAAATAAAAACAAATGAATCACAACCCTTATACTTTAATGAATCCACTATAACTATTGTTACTTTTTCAATGTAATGAAAATTTTCATCTTAGCTAATACTATATATAGATATTATCTAATTAACTTCTTTTTACTCCCAGAAATCTTCAATACCAATCATTTGTGTGATCAGTACTATTTCCCTTCTCCCTTCATCACTGACCTCCTCCTCTCCCTAGTAACTTGGGAGTGGAATCAACTGGCATACCTTTACCCTCTCTTTGGTAACCCAATAGTTCTTACCCTTCTATAGGTAACAGGCCCCTTTGAGAAACTGATGAAAACTATGAGACCCAGAAAAATGAATGTACCTATTACACTCAATTTTTTTCATACAACTTCAGGAGTTATACCCCACAGTTACCTACACAAGTAATTTCTATGACCATATAGCTCTCTTTTATAATCTCATACAACTCCTTTATATACATACACAATTAAAAACTTTACAGTGATTAATAATGTAATACTCAAAATAATATAATTAAAGTTTTATCTTTCTGGCAATATTTTAAGAACCCCCAGATGAACTCCACCCTAAAAGGCCTTAGAACATGTTGAGCACTTCAATAAGACAACTCAAAATAACGAGTAAGGCATTTATTGTAAAAAAATGTCTTAGCAAGTCTTGTTGTTTGATCAACTTGCTTGCTTTAAAATGGCTGAAATGTCTTCCTAAATTTGTTTTTATTAACTCTGAAATATCTGCTTCCAAAATCATGTTAAGTCTCAAAACTTAATTTGTGCAAAAAGGAAAGTTCCAATTGCTATTAATTCTTGGATTCAAATACCGGTTCTACTATATCAAGCTATGTTCAACACGGAACGCTGTAGCCAGTAAGTGAAAGTGATACCATCTCATAACGATCTAGTTACCTCATCAAAGCAAGTAAAACATAAAAGATGAAACAGAACAAATACCAAAGGGAAAGGAAGAATATAATCAAGGTGTTATTACTAAAAGAAATTAAGTGCTTTCTTGAAAGTGTAGTTCCTAAAAGTAGAAGCTTCTTGCTAGATATACCAAACTATTCGTGGACACTGAACTGACGTTTATTTTTGCTTAAACTTTTAATCACTGTTTAAATCAGTTTTGTACTGGGTCAAAAAAAAAAAAAAAAGAAACATGACCACTCTTTTACCACAAAACTGATAAATTTCAAAGCTGCATCAGAATTTTTAAATATATTAAATGTTGGTGATACACTCACAAAACTTTTCTAAGTTTCATGAAGCTGTGAGCACCTATTATTAAACCAATTAGCCCTCTACCAGCATAGACAATTCACAAAAAGAAGTTTCTTCATCTGTGAATAGTGGGTTAACAGGATATATCAAGTAAGCAAGTTATCAGTTTGCCTCAAGTTAGGGTGGAACTGATGAGACTTTAAACTGTTCATTTTATTCTAACCCACTAGGTCCCTTCTTCCCACACAATGGAAATCTGTATACTTCCTGAAATAGTAGTTTGACATGTCTTCCAGCATGGACAATTCATCATTAAAAGGCAAACTGGAAGTAAAAGAGAAATGCAACAGGTACATACCAAATGATCAGATGCCGTAAGAAAAGACTTATTAGTAATGTCACTGTCTCCTCTGCTATTATAAACAAGTTGCTGGTGAAAACTCAAAACTAAATGTGCAACATGTGCTTGTCCTTCTGAGTTAGAGGAAGAAACTTCAAACAAGATTTATTTGCTGAAATTGTGCAGGAAAACTATTTTCCCTCGTGCCACCCAAATTATAAACTTTATTGATAAATGTCTGCATATTTGCCATGTCTGGGAAAAAAAGACTATAGCCAATATATTTTGTTAATGCTACCAGTTTTTAAGTTTCACTATTAAGCCATTTTCATATAAACTAAAAAAAAAAAAAAAAAGAGGAACCCTTTTAACTGATGAGTTGAAGAAACTCCAGTATTTCCCAACCTAATACCAGGCCCCATAGATTACATTCCTCTGCACATTAAGTCAGTGGCAGGAAATGGACTGCTACCACTGGTTCACACACTTTCAGGGCTATGAAACTTGTGCAGTCTTACTGCTTTTGACCATTCTTAATCAACTACGTGGAAGTACTGTAATGACTCTATTATATACACAACAATTGGGGGTACCTCACCCAACCTCAAACTCCCACGCTCCCCCCACTCTTATACAGAAATGTTTCTTGGGCAAGCACATGGAAGCGGCAACGGGAAAAGGCGCACGTAGGCGATTCTTCCTTACATTTCGGGTAAAGCAGAAAGACTAGAAGCCTACGCTGTGTGGCTTTTTTAAGGGTGGGGCTGGTTGGCAAGTCTGTGGGTGGGCTCCCAAGTATTTGGATTGAAAAGAAGAAAGGCTCCCCTTACCGGACAGTAAGTATTAAGAGTCAAAACCTAGCAACAGACTGCGGTGGGAAGGAAAGGAATCGCGGGAAAATTCATGCCCACTAGTTAGATAATCAACAGACCCTAGCCAGTACTCGGAGTCTCCCAAAGTTGGGGTGGGGCCCTTCTCTTTTCCACACTGCCTCCCAGAATGATAAGAGTGAGAAAGGGGTTAAATGAAGAAGGGGGTGCTCTTCCGCCCCCCACGCCGTCTCCGCGACTCCGCGGGGCCGCTCCTTTCGCGGCTCCCGGAGTAGCACAGCGAGGTCGCGGTTAGCCTTGGGAGGGGGCCCCGGGTCCCCCCGTGCGCAACTGCCGGAGGATCCTGGGGCTCTCGCTGTCCCCAAGGCCGGCGGGGACTGCGGGAGCACTCACCAATTTAGGTTTGTTTTTCGTTTCCTCTTCGTTGGCGGCCCGGTTCCCCGCGCTCCGCTTGTTGCTCCGGCCCCCACCGGGTTCTTCGCTGCCGCCTCCCGCTCCCGATGCCGCCGCCCCGGGCTGCTCCATCTTTCTCCGGCCCTATCACCTGTGACCTGTAACCCGACCTCTCCTCAACTTGGGGAAGCCCCACGGGGTGGTCCCGCTGTCCCAGCTGATTCGGTATCACCTCTTCCTGTGTGAGAATGTGTCTGCCTGGAGAGCGGCTGATTTCAGGCTCTCGGCTCCCAGGCACCCTCGACGCAGCACGCCGTTGCCACTACTAGGCGCTAGGGCAAGCCCTGCCCCTGAGCAGCTGCAGTTACTGCGGTCGCCGGCGCCGCCGCCCTTAGGGCGGTGTTTAGGGTGGAGGGAAAGTAGGGCCTATCTCTTTAAGAGGGCCTCGACACACGTGATTCATCAAAGTACCCGCAGTCAGCCGCCCGGGCGCCGAAAGCTGCTTCCTACTCCCAGTGCCGAGTGGGCCCTAGCTACTGAGCATGCCCAGCGCAGCGACCGGAGCCAGAGGATAGCAGAGGACTTTAAGCTGCAGTTAAGCACTGATTTCACTTCCTAGGGGCCTAGGGTGAAATGAAAGGGAACTAGTGAAGAGAAAGGAGATATAGCCCATTTTAGAGATAGGGAAACTGAGGCCCAGAAGGATTCAAGTGTGAGTTTAACTGACAGGTCTACCTAACTATCAGCTTCCACTGTTGTAGGCCGGAACACCTTTCCCACAGACGCCTTGCTGGGGGTGTGGTCCTGCTAGGCTCCAAGGGAGGGGTGGATTGGAAGACAGCTGGCATCCTATAGGAAAACCACCACTGAAAGTGCTGATTAATTGCCTAGACGAACGGTATGGGTCAAAGTGGACAGATGGGGTGCTTTATATTGCCATGATTACTTTGCGATCAAAGAAATACGGTCGTTCCTTTATTTCCATGCTGCTGGGTAGTAGAAGCAGCACACATCCACTACTTAATTTTGGGGGAAGGGGGAGCAGGAGCAGTTAAGGCTCTTTTAACCAAAGTACCTATAGAGAGCTAGCAGTTGGATTGAGTGATTTTCAGTTTGGGGGACTAGCTTAGGTTTAGGGTTATTGTGAGGAATAAGATCATGTGTGTCAAAGCTTTGTTTAAAACATAAATCTCTAGACAAATGCTGGGTGTTTCTGTGGAGCAGTAGCACCGTACTGTAAACATTGTTAGTCTTTGGTGCTTGTGTTGTCAGGAAGAGGACTAAGCTATATTTCTAACATCTTTTTTTTTTTAAACAGGGCCCCCTAAAAAGAGTGTACACACTGAGAACATTGCAGGGGTAGAGCAGGATTTGAATGAACCACAACCATAGACTAAGAGCACATATGATAGAGAAGCCTGAAATGTAACCTCAGATATGAAATCTATTAACATGTCCATATGCCTGTTATTCACATATCTTCAGGCTATGACTTCTTTTGCCCTCCCCTTCAACCTAAATTCAACTATGCTGAATCTAATTGGTTTATGAGCATATTAATTGAGAGAGCATTACGATAAATTTGTCCATGCTATAGATGTGAGGAAGCAATTAACTGGGACAGTAGAGTGAAAAGAACATAATATATCTAAAAACAGTTTAAATCCTGTCTTTGTCATTATTATTAACTTTCTTTTTAATCACACAGGTGATAAACTACCCAAAAACAGCACAGAAAAAGAAATATATCCTTCCAGACAGGGTGGATAAGGAGCCCTAAGGTAAATTTGATTTGTCTAAGTTTCTATCTTAAAATTTGATGTATATTTTGAATTCGACTCACTATATGCATAGAAACACATATGTGATAAATTGCTTAAATGTTTCCCCTCCGAAAAACTGAGTAAAAATGCATGCTACAGAAAGACATGCCCTGCATGTCTTTATTCAATACTTTCTTCCAATTTCTGTTTAAGGGATATGGATATGGATTGGAATCCTCCAAGCTCAAACATGGCTCAATAATATGCTCCATGGGTATTTTTTTTAAAAGATTTTTATTTATTTGACAGACAGAGACCACAAATAGGCAGAGGAGATAGGCAGAGAGAGAGGAGGAAGCAGGCTCCCCGTCGAGCAGAGAGCCCGATGTGGGGCTCGATCCCAGGACCCTGGGACCATGACCTGAGCCAAAGGCAGAGGCTTTAACCCACTGAGCCACCCAGGCGCCCCATCCATGGGTATTTATTAAACGCCTTAGGGTATACCAAGTGCTCTGCTGAGTGCTCTAGGTTAGAAGAAGGAATGGACACACTTTCTGCCCTTTAGTACCTGTACTGGGAGAGACAGACTGAACTGCATTTCAGATTCAGAACATATATGAACAGGGAACTCATAGAGCACATCAGAGCGGTAAAGCACCAGAATGTCAAGGTTCCAGGACACCTTCCCAAAGAGAATGATGCTTGAGCTAAGTCTTAAGGGTATAATTAAAGTTAGTAAGTTTTTTTGACAGCCTACTATTAGGTACTGTGCTAGGCATTGTGGATACAATAGTGAGCAGGACAGATATGGCTTGCTCTAAGGGCTTTCAGGCTATTGGAAAGCATATTAAACAAAACTGTGTTGAGAATTACAAGGCAAAGAAAGAGGGTGAAGAGCATTTCAGGCAAAGGAAATGACAATAGCATGTGCAAAGACCATATGGTTAAGAAATTGGGGGCATCTCGGGGAGAAGGCTTCTGTTGCCAAGAGAAAAAGTAGAACAGATAAGCAGTTCCCAGATCATGAAGGAATTGTAGGTCTCATTGGTGTGGATTTAAAAGGGAGAAGACATTGTAATACAAATGACCTCTGTTTAGAGTGTATAAATAAACTTGAAAATGGATTGGCATTATTTTGAATAAGGTTGGGTTTCACTGTCCTCAGGCAAGTGAAGCTACATTTGAAATCCAATTAGAGGTATGTGTAAAAGATGCATAATCTTACTGCAAAAAGTGAAAAAGTCTCTTCCTGATATAGCTTACATCCGACTTTACTGTGATTGTCTCAGCCCCGCCCCGTCTTAATTCTCAAAGTTTGTTTTTAAGCATTTTGCTTCAGTTAATATAAACAGTAATTAAACAAACACCCTTCTGTCCTACATCAGGGTCATTGGTCTCTCTTGGAAGTTAACATGTGAAAGAAACCACTACTGTCCTACAAGGATTTGCCCACTGATTATGAAACAGGCGCCTCACCAAGTATACAGTCCTAGGACTGATTTCACTGCTCCTGCATTCCTTTGTTTTTACCTTCCTGGGACACACAGATAGCTTGGTGGAGGGAGAGACCTCTTTCCTCTCATGCTTCAAAAAGAAGGAGGCTCTAACATTAGTTGGGATATCAAAAGTTTATGTTAGACATACTGACCTGTGGTCTCTTCCTCTGGCTTCTCATGAGTTTAGCATCCAGTTAACTTTAAAAACTGAACCCTAGGAGAAAAGAAAGATAAAAGGCGGCTAAGATCTATATTTCTTCAAACTGACCGTAGAGTTCTTTGTAACCCCCAGAGGTTTCTGATGAGCCTCATAGCATCCCTCTTGCTTTCTGTGTCTCCCTTCTGCTGAACGTTCTCTTTTAAACAATCTGGGTCATTAATAAAGAAATGAAAGGAAGCATGGATTAGACAAAAATGAGAAATAACCCACTTTAGGGTCATGGAAAAACATTTGTGATATAAAGTTTGCCTAAGAGTAAACACGTATTTATTAAGCATATACTATGTGCCAACACCAAAATAGATGTTATGCAAAAAAAAAAATACCAGACATTCTCCTGTAATATTATATATGTCTTCCTGAAGAATCTCCTGTTCTATAGAATTGCACACTGAGGAAAAATGGATTCTAGGGAAACATGGTTAGGGAAGATATTTAAATCCAATACAACTTTATAATCAGAGCAGTAATGAAAATAATAACCATTCTAACAAGATTAAATCTCCATTGGCATTTGCTCCAGTATCACAACCCTCAATGCTTGGTAGCCTTCATGCTTCTTCCTTCCTGTTGTGGCTCCTCAAGGGCATTCACTTTGAATAGATTATTATCTTCATCAAAATTAAAAATATAATTGGGGACGCCTGGTTGGCAGTCAGTTAAGCCTCTGGCTCTTGGTTTCAGCTCAGGTCTAAATCTCAGGGTCCCGAGATCCAGCCATTTGTTGGGCTCAGCAGGGAGTCTGCTGGAGATTCTCTCCCCACCTCCCACCCCCCCCATCTGTGCTCTCTCTTTCTCTCTCTCTCCCAAAAAAAATAATAAATCTTTTTTAAAAATCTAATTAAAGAGTATGCAACTTTTTAAAACCTGTGGTGAAATGTCTTCACAGCTTTGTGCTCAGTAGTCACAGCTTCACCAAATAGTTTAATGTAAGGAACTTAAGAGGTGGTTGAAAGCACTAAACCAGTTATACTGAAGGGGCAGAGTCAGGTGCAAGATTATTCTTTTTTCCTTAAAGTCTTCATACATTGCTAGAATTTATGCTTAATTGTGAGAAAGCTTCCTCCTCATCATCTCAGAACTTCAAGAGCTAATAAGATTCACATGTGAACCAACTGGACTTCCACCTTATTTTGACATAATTCTTCTATTTATCAATTGCTAATATGCTTATTCATGGTACACAAATGTAATGAAACAGACTGTAAAATAGAAAATCTTTGCCATCAATAGCTATAAAATCTACTTGAGAAAACAAACAACTAATTTGTGAAACAGTGAGAGAAGATTAGCTGCCTAAATTGGAGATACTGACTCTAAATTCAACATAACATGGTAAAGGTGTGAGGTTGGTTGGACCTAGAATAGATGAAGAAGTTCTCAAGGAGAAGGTAGAACTTGAGCTACTAAGGTATGAAGCAGAAATCAGGTGTGAATAGGAGAAACTAAGAAAGGAAGTAAGGAAAAGACAACATGTAGAATGATCTGGAAACAATACTGACCAATGATGTTGAGTGGCTACTGGGGCTTGAGGAGAATGCTGAGAACACAGATGTTGAATAATAGTAGGAAACATGGTTATCCCCCTAGCATTTTCCCAGAATATAAACAGATTTGAATGTAAGACACAGTGGTAGTAACAGGTAAAGTTCTTTAGCAAGAATGTTATAAAATAAAGAAGTAAGGAGTCTGGCAGTGGCATGCAGAATAATTTTTTTTCTTTTTTTTCAAATTTAAATTCAATTTAGTTAACATGTAGTACAGTATTGGTTTCAGGAGTAAAATTTAGTGATTCATCACTTACATATAACACCTAGTGCTTATCTGAACAAATGCCCTCCTTATTGCCCATCACCCATCTATCACATCCCTCTACCCACCACCCCTCCAGCTACCTTCAGTTTGTTCTCTATAGTTAAGAGTCTCTTATGGTTTGCCTCCCTCTCTGTTTTTAACTTTATTTTATTTTTTCCTCCCTTCCCCTATGTTCATCTGTTTTGTTTCTTAAATTCCACATATGAGAGAAATCCTTATGGTATGATGACTTTCTCTGACTGACTTATTTCAGTTAACGTAATGCACTCTAGTTCCATCCATGTCATAGCAAATGGTAAGATGTCATTCTTTTTTATGGCTGAGTAATTTTCCAGTGTGTGTGTGTGTGTGTGTGTGTGTGTGTACCACAACTTTATCCATCTTTCAATCAGTGGACAAATGGGCTGTTCCCATAATTTGGCTATTGTTAATAATGCTGCCATAAACATTGGAGTGCATGTATCCCTTTGAATTAGTGTTTTTGTGTTCTTGGGTAATTATCTAGTAGTACAGTTGCTGGATCACTGGGTAGTTCTATTTTTGACTTTTTGAGGAATCTCCATACTGTTTTCCAGAGTGGCTGCACTAGTTTGCATTCCTACCAACAGTGTAAGATGGTTCCCTTTTCTCTGCATCCTTGCCAATGCCTGTTGTTTCTTGTGTTGTTGATTTTAGCCATTCTGACTGGTATAAGGTGATATCTCACTGCAGTTTTGATTTGTATTACCCTGATGATCAGTGATGCTGAGCATCTTTTCATGTGTCTGTTGGCCATCTGTATGTCTTTGGATAAATGTCTGTTCATGCCTTCTGCCCATTTTTAACTGGATTATTCACTTTGGGGGTGTTGGGTTGTTTTTTTGTTTGTTTGTTTTTATTTTAAGTAAACTCCATGCCACACGTGGGGCTTGAATTCACAATGGGTGTTGAGTTTGCTAAGTTCTTTCTGTATTTTGGATACTAACTCTTTATCAGATATGTCATTTGCAAATATCTTCTCCCATTCCATATGTTGCCCTTTAGTTTTGTTGATTTTTTTACTGCACTATGCAGAAGCTTTTTATTTTGATGAAATAAGTCAGAGAAAAACAAATACCATATGATTTTGCTCTAAGAAATCTAAGTGGAATCTAAGAAACAAAAGAAAGGAGCAACAGGGGAAAAAAGAGAGGCAAATCAAGAAACAGAACATAGATGAACTGGAAAGGCAGATGATTAACTAGAAAGAAAAACTGTTACTAGAAGGGAAGTGGGTGGAGGGATGGGTTAAATAGGTGATGCAAATTAAGGAGTGTGGTTGTTGTGATGAGCACGAAGTGTTGTGTGGAACTGTTGAATCACTGTATTGTACACCTGAAACTAATATTACATTGTGTCAACTAACGGGAATTTAAATAAAAACTTAAAAAAAATAAAGGAACAAACTGGTCCTCTTCACAGATTACATACAGGAAACAAAGGAAAAGAAAGAGTAGACAAGAATTACT